TTGGAAAAGATGAGGGAGGGAAGAGGATGGTTGGGAATGAATGAGAGTATGGAAGGAAGAAAGGAAAATGCGGCGGAAGCGGAGGTCCAAGGAATGAGTGTGGATAGATGGATGGATGGATGAGTGTGGTGTGTCTCTCTCTCTTTCGACGCGAGAAACAAATTATGTAAGCGGAGCGGAGGTTCGCAGTGTACCCCGCAAGGGAATAAAGCACCTTATATATATATATATATATATATATATGTACTACCATGATCAAAAAATAACCGGAATTTATTCATAAAAAGAAAAGTACATGTTTATTCTTCAAAATTCTAGTTGTCTCCTTCAAAGTAGTCCCCGTCGGCTGCGATGCACTTGTGCCAGCGTTTGATCCACCCCTCGAAGCTTTTCTGGAAGTCGGTTTTTGGTATAGCCATTAGTGCCTCCAACGATTTTAGCTTTATTGCCTCCACACTCTCAAAACGAGTTCCTCGTAGTGGTTTTTTGAGTCGATCGAATAGGAAAAAGTCACATGGTGCCAGATCAGGTGAATTGGGCGGTTGTTGAATGGTATTGGTGTTGTTTTTGACGAGAAATTCACGAATAATCAACGCATTATGAGATAAAATTTTAGGATTTTTTTGATCCAAATCCTCACGCAAAATGCTCTGAACGGATCCAAATAATATGTTGGTGGTCTCAGCTATCTCCCTTATCGTCACTTTGCGATTTTCGATCAACAATTGTCGGATTTTATCGACGTTTTCATCAGTTTTCGATGTCGATGGCCTCCCAGGACGAGCATCGTCTTCAACAGCCTCACGACCACTTTTAAAGCGTTCATACCACTTAATTAATTTAAACCTCGCGGGCTTATCGGTTTAGAATTCTGTTGTTTGTGTCACGTTGGCAGCACTGTTACGGACACCCATGCTAAGCTTCTGCTTACCAGCTGTTCATTTACCTTTATGACAGCATATATGTCATACTCCTATATTGCTAGTACGGTGCCGACCTGAAGCTCACCGTTACGGTGCAGACAACATAGTAGCCTCTCTCTCCAGCTGCTTTGTGCGCATGCGGTGAACATTCAAGCACGCTTGCGCATTTCTCTTTCTCGCGTTCTTTCTCTCACTTTCCAATGTAGATGGGGCTAAAATTCCCTGGAGTAAAACCGTTAAGTATCTTGGTGTCACTTTAGCAAATACACTATCCTGGGATGCTCATGTTACTGGCATAATCTCGCGCGCTAATGCTGCGCTCTATCGGTTGAAGACTTTTAAAAACCTTTTTTCGTCTTGTGTACGGATCAGATTGGTAACTGCTTTAATATTTCCAATCTTCGATTACTGCAGTGTCTTATTGACTGATTTAACGGAAGCTGACAATTTACGACTTCAAAGAGCCTTTAATAATTGCGTTAGATTTATCTACGACATTAAATGGTTTGAGCATATTACGCCTTATTATCAAAAACTACAATGGCTCAAGTTAAAGACAAGAAGAAAATACTTTATAGGCAATCTTCTTTTTAAAATTTTTGAAACTGAAAGACCTCGGATCTTGTATGGGAGGTACTCTTTTAGAGATACACAATCTAGTTATTGCACTAGAGCTGTTAGTGGCACTCTTATCTTGCCTTTATGTCGTACAGATTTTTTCAGGCGATCATTTATCTGTAACTCTATTGATACGTGGAATGAAATTCCAGTTGACATACGCAATGAACGCCTCTATACTTTCAAAAGAAAATTTTTTGAATATTTGTTAGCCGCTAATGTTTAAAATTTTATGTTGATTTTATGTTAATATTTCATATTCACTTCTTCTTCTTCTTCTTATATTTTATATTTTCTCTTTTTGTTATATTTTCTCTTTTTGTTTTGTTTTTATAAATTTTATTTGTTTTTTTTTTTTAAATTTTGTAAAAGTTCTTAACGCTTGAGGGGATCTTATCCCAGAGCGTAATAATAAAGCAAAATCAATCAATCAATCAATCACTTTCCAATGCTTTGTCTCGCTCGCACTCACTTGATAGATGCGCCTGCGCATAATGACGCTCGACCATCTATGCCTATATTAGGACTTCGTGCGTCTCCCTTTCTCGGGCCTCGTGCCTCTCATTGCGAAGATACGCGACTAGCAATATAGGAGTATTACATATATGTATGACAGTGATTTCTTTACATCAAGTTTTTACGTCGCGGCGATTTTTACAATGGATTCAAAACTTGAACAACGTTCTTGCATTAAATTTTGCTATAAAAATGAAAGTAAGTGTTCCGACACATTAAAAATGTTACAAAAGTGTTATAGTGACGATACTCTATCGAAAACACAGGTGTACTAGTGGTATAAACGCTTTAAAAGTGGTCGTGAGGCTGTTGAAGACGATGCTCGTCCTGGGAGGCCATCGACATCGAAAACTGATGAAAACGTCGATGAAATCCGACANTNTTGATCGAAAATCGCAAATTGACGATAAGGGAGATAGCTGAGACCACCAACATATCATTCGGATCCGTTCAGAGCATTTTGCGTGAGGATTTGGGTCTGAGGCGAGTCACTGCGAGATTGGTGCCAAAAGAACTGAATTTCGTGGAAAAATTGCATCGCGCTGAAATTTCAAAAGAGATGGTTTCCATGATCGATTCCGACCCAACAATCATCCAACGCATAATTACAGGTGACGAGACGTGGGTGTATGAGTACGACACGCAAATACGACATCAATCAAGTGAATGGCGAGCTAAAGATGAGCCAAGACCCAAAAAACCACGTCGATTTCAATCAAAGAAAAAAGTCATGCTTACTATTTTCATTGACTACAATGGTGTCGTTCATCATGAATTCTTCCCAAAAGGCCAGACAGTCAACAAGGAATATTACCTAGGAGTTATGAAACGGTTACGCGAAGCTATCCGCAAAAAAAGACCTGCTTTGTGGGGCAACAACTCGTTGATTCTCCATGACGATAATGCGCCATCTCATAATGCGTTGATTATTCGTGAGTTTCTCGTCAAAAACAACACCAATACCATTCAACAACCGCCNAATTCACCTGATCTGGCACCATGTGACTTCTTCCTATTCGATCGACTCAAAAAACCACTACGAAAAACTCGTTTTGAGAGTGTGGAGGCAATAAAGCTAGAATCGTTGGAGGCACTAATGGCTATACCAAAAACCGACTTCCAGAAAAGCTTCGAAAGGTGGATCAAACGCTGGCACAAGTGCATCGCAGCCGACGGGGACTACTTTGAAGGGGACAACTAGAATTTTGAAGAATAAACATGTACTTTTCTTTTTATGAATAAATTCCGGTTATTTTTTGATCATGGTAGTATGTATATTACATATTATATGTCTTTTAAATTTTAAGTACAATTCGTAATTATACGATAAGTTTAATTACGTATAATTTTCCAGAAGTGTCAAGGCAGTTGGAGTCAAAAACACAGTTGTTGTTGTGTATAAATGTAAAAGTGATGTTCTTTATTTAATAGTTTTCAAAAATAAATGTCGTTTCGACCTTAGTTTTTGGTCTTTATCAAATTCATTCTACAAAAAATTGATCGCAAAATATTACAAAAATAAATTATGGAAATATTGTAAACAATAATTTATATGAAAATGTGAATGCGCATTGTAAAAATAATTTGTTGACTTACAGGAATGTGCTGTTTGTAAAAACGTCGCTCAAACAGAATAAGAATGATGATACAATTCAAAATGGTACATGGTAGTATCGCAAATAAAAGTTGTTACTTGACTGAATATATTTTGAAATGACATCAATATGAACAGTGAAATCAACGTTTGAGACATGCGCAAAGGAGAATTTAAGCTGTAATAACAACAAATGGTAAATAAGATTTGTCGAGGTTTTCCGTGTCACTGTGTAGATTGAGGCCATGTGTTTGTCTCTTAATATATAGCGTTTCAGAAATTAGACGCTTATAATAGTGTCTTTCGCAATCCAAAATCTCAACTTTATCCCAAGAGAAATCGTGGGAATAATTAATTCTGTGATCAGTGATAACAGAAGTTTGCGTGGTGTTACGTTTGATATGATTTTGTGTTCATTGATTCTGGATTGTAAAACTCTACCAGTCTGGCCTACGTAGGATGCCTCACAATCATTACAGTTAATTTTATAAACTACAAATGGACAAGAAAGGGAAGGTATAGGATCTTTTTGTACTTTGATAAATCTGGACAATTTGTTTAAACTGTAGAAAAAGTGGTGTAAGATTATTCCGTTTTATCCTGGATATTCTCAAATTTCTCAAAATGTTCGACGCGACCGTTATAATTTAAAAGGGAATCTACAATAAAGATCGACCGACAGTCACCCTGTCTTTTGTTCCCTTCCCGACACGTTATCAACACGACCGGCAACTTCGATACAATGTCTCAATGTTCTCCTTGTTTTCGCGACACGAACTAAGGGCAACAGCGCTCACGACACGACAACGACAAATATGTGTTTCGAACGACAAATAACGGAATAAAGTAATCAACTCACACAATTATTTCCTTTACTGGTTTTACATAATTTATTACACAATATAGAATGCGATACAATCCGACTACAGCGATCTACAACGACAACTCGACAATTCCACTCTCACGGCTCGACTCTCTTTTTCGACACAACGACTGCTTTTCGACCGTCTGGTTCGCCGGGTTTAACCAGAGTCGCTTGCCGCTCGATTTTTCGCCGGCACATGCCTCTCGATTTGATGATTCTCGAGCGCTCCCGAAATCACTCCTTTTTCACGTGATTCCGGCAATCACATGTTTGCGCAGCAATATGCGCGCCAGTCGCAGGTCGGTGCGCCGATCGCGGCCACCCGGTATGTGGCGTCGTCGCAGACCAATGTCCTTACAGTGGTGTGTATCAGTCTCCTTAGTAAAAGTTGACAAAAATTTTTCAGAGAAATTAAATATGTAAGGCATCACAAACCAACGAGAAGGTTTATCGTCAAGGTTATTATTATTCAAAAATGTTTTTAAGTTATTATTCTTTAAAAAATTATATTTAAGTCTTTTTTTTAAAATGTTATAAATGAAGTCAATAGGGTAATTATTGTCGTTCAGAATGTTAATAATGTAGTAAAAGTTTTTCTTATGAAAGTCAGGATGAGATAAAAAAGGCCCTGTCAATGAGACCTATAACTGTGCTTTTTTTCTGGCTGGTTGGATGGTTGGAATGGAAATTAAGGTATCTGCCAGAAAAAGTCAACTTGTAATACCAGTCATGTATCAAAGAATTATTTCTCTTAATTATGGTGATGTCCAGAAAATTCAGTTTGTTGTAGCCTATCTCCATGGTGAATTGTAGGCGATGATGATAAAAGTTAAAGAGATGAAGGACTAAGTCAAAGCTGTCATCAGGAACCATTAGAGCTATATCGTCGACATATCGAACATAGAAAGGAGGTTGGAAATGTAAAGAATTAATGATGTTCTGTTCGAGGTCTTGCATAACAATATCAGCTAAAATGGGGGAAAGGGGTGAACCCATTGGTGCGCCAAAGGTCTGTCGATAAAATTGGTTATTAAAAATAAAAAAAGTTGAATTATATACGAATTTAATAGCGGTGAAAAATTCTTCTTTAGGTAAGGACGTTTCCTTGCTTATGAGATCTTGTCTCCAAACTATTAATTACTAAGTTCAGTGGAATATTGGAAAACAAAGATGTAACATCGAGAGAAATTAGTTCAAAAGAGTGCTCAAATTTCACACCAGAAATTATCTTTGAAAGGTGAAAACTGTTGAAAACAAAACTTTTAGGAGGTGGAATACTTTTGGAAATGATCTTGTGTAAGAAAAAAGCAAGGTTGTGTAACGGACTGTTAATTGAAGAAATAATCATTCTAAGTGGATTACCGGATCTTTGGCACACCATAAGCTCTAGGGAGAATTGGTAAAGATGAGTTTAAATTACGGTGAGAGATGTCCGAGATATAATCGTGAGACCTCCATTTTTTTAACAAAGCTTTTAACGAAATTAATATAGAATTGACCGGATTCTTTTTAATTGGGGCATAAGTGTTAATGTCCAATAAAAAATTCTCCATATCGTGAGTATATTTAACTTTATCCATCGCGACTACAGTGTTGCCCTTATCCGCTCTAGTGTAGATAATAGAAGGATGGTGTTTCACAAATGAGTTAGTATATTTAAGAGCATTGTTAATTTCAATATCATGTAATAAGTTAGTAAAATTAGAAACTCTCAATTGTTTGAACATAGGAACAAACCGGTTGCGACTGTCAATTTTTTTATTGTTATCTAAATGTATTGTTATCTTAATATTGTATTCAAAATTTTTTATCATTTCAAATATTAGTTTAGAATTATTTTTGGTGGGAAGGCTGAAATTTTCACCATGTTGCAATAAACCAACAACTTTATCAGGAATGGGAGTGCTGGTGAGATTAATAAACCAATTTTTCCTATGCTCGAGTAATGTTTTGGTTGGAGATTTGAGTTCCATTTGGATGTTTACTGTATGTGTGGCTTGAAAAGAAGGTGAAAAGAAGAAAGTGTGAGAAGGATGTGTGTAGTAGGAATTGGAACTATTATTCAAAAGGGGTTTATCGCGGTTTATAGCAAAATATGTGAGTTTCTTAGGTAGAGAGATTTTTTTATAATGTTTTTGTTTAATCCACGAAAACTTTTTCATCATCCTTCTTTCTTGGTCAAGATGAAATTTATTAATTTTGTCTAATTGAGAGTCAAAAAACACACTGTAAATATGGAACGGTAGATTGTATATAATAGTTTTGTTAGTTTTAAAGATGTTATTTACCATTTGTTGTTAATACAGCTTAAATTCTCCTTTGCGCATGTCTCAAACGTTGATTTCACTGTTCATATTGATGTCATTTCAAAATATATTCAGTCAAGTAACAACTTTTATTTGCGATACTACCATGTACCATTTTGAATTGTATCATCATTCTTATTCTGTTTGAGCGACGTTTTTACAAACAGCACATTCCTGTAAGTCAACAAATTATTTTTACAATGCGCATTCACATTTTCATATAAATTATTGTTTACAATATTTCCATAATTTATTTTTGTAATATTTTGCGATCAATTTTTTGTAGAATGAATTTGATAAAGACCAAAAACTAAGGTCGAAACGACATTTATTTTTGAAAACTATTAAATAAAGAACATCACTTTTACATTTATACACAACAACAACTGTGTTTTTGACTCCAACTGCCTTGCCACTTCTGGAAAATTTTGAATATTTGGAGTTATCTGTCTTAGTTTCGTTATTTAATTACGTATTTGATAAAAAAAGTTTAATGTTAACAAATTTATATATTTATTACATTAATATTCTAATTTAATATTCTAATTTGTTATATATATTAATATTCTAAAATCTTTTTTTCACTGTCATATTAATAATTCATACAAATATGTTATGTGAATATTTTATTTGAATAATATCATGTCTTTTTACAAGATTACAAAACTGCGTTTCCATATTTATTGCCAGTGCTAAACATCTATGCTTCACGTCACATGTGCTATAGATTTCCAGTAGTGGCAGTGAATATCGGAACGCAGCCTAATATCGAAAAACGTTGTCGTACGGAACAAGCGCGTTAAACCTCTTGCACAATGGACGGAATAGCGATAGCGATAGAAATAACAAAAGTTTTAAAGAGTTTATATTTAAAAATAAAGGTAGGAACAGCGGAATCTAACATACAAAATTACACATGTATCAATGCAGATCAGAAAATCGGAATAAGTAATAGCGATAAAATTTCCGACGAATTGGAATTCTGTGTTAAAAACTGTGTTATTTCTATCGCTATCGCTATTCCTTCCATTGTGCAAGGGGCTTTACGTACGTTGCCTCGTAGCCGGCTTGGTGGAAAGGAGACGGACCATACTATGTCTGCACTCTTCCACGAGCCGACAGCCGAGCGTGACGTCACGCACACGAACGTGACTCTCGCTTGCATGCGTACGAGAGCATCGAGGCGGTAAGGGCCCCCTCACTTCGATGCTCTCGATGCTGCCTGCACGATCTGGCATCTCTGATGCCGCGTGGGTCGTATACGTCCCACTCTAGACTTTCCGTTTAGGCCATATGCTATCTTCGCTATTGAGCGTGACATTATCATAAAATATTTTCTAAAATCATATTGATGTCTAAATATCATATACAATATAGTTAGTACATCGTGAGCATTTACTTTGTTTTGATAATAATGATTTCTGCAATCGTAGAAATATTATGAAACATATGTCATAAACAAAATTGGTGGGCTCGAAAGCGTGGGGGGCATACGACCCACGCGGCGTGAACGAAAAGTCATCGAAAATCGGACCGGCACGGAACGTGTTAACGGAATTCGAGTCGCTGGGCGGTTAACTCGGCAATCTCTGAAGCGATACTAAAGCCTCTTGCATAATGCGAGGGAATAGTGATAACGATACGCAATAGACACAGAATTCCAACTCGTCGGAAATTTTATCGCTATTGCTTATTCTGTTTTCTGATCTGCATTGATACATATGTATTTTCGTGTTAGATTCCGCTGTTCCTACCGTTATTTATAATTATAAATTCTTTAAAACTAGTGTTATTTCTATCGCTATCGCTAATCCGTCCATTGTGCAAGGGGCTTAAGTTGTAAAGAAGAATTTTGGCGGACCTCACGCTCGTCGGCAGATGTTCTGTTTACGATTTTCTTCTCCTTGAAATAACTGATTCTCTTTGAAATAACTGGTAATGTATCAGCACTTTCCGATAGCACAGCGTGAACACTCTGGCACAAAGATATTCGCAGGAAGATTTTTGGTTGCTCACACCTCTACAACGGCACTTGCAACAATGAGCGCAGAGCTTTTCGGTAATTGCGTGAGCCTTAGCCGCTCATGGTGTAAAAAGAAAGATGTCCGATTCCGACGGATGCGCAGTAGAATTTGAGCTCAGTTGCACATACACATACACCATAGACATATATGTATATAACTATATGTATAGATGCCAATAAGCTCAATTTCTGATTGGTTGATTGTGGATGGCCCTCTGCCATTATGCGCATTGGGACCATGGACATAGGGTCAGAGTTACAAACTCTGGCCGGCTAGCAAGAACATCGAGGTAGTGGGGACACGCACACCATAAGTTCTCGCTTGAGTGCGTGCCCCTACCACCTCGGTATTTTTGTTGCTAGCCGGCCAGAGTTTGCAACTTTGCATAGGGTGCATTCGTTTTGGATGCTTACGCGCTTTAAGCGTCAGTTTGTCTTTATTGTTGTTTAAATATAGAACAAAGATAGACTGACGCTCAAAGCGCGCAAAGCGAACGCATCCATAGAAATATAGGAACGGAGCATAGAGTTGCGGGGGGGAAGCCACTGCGGGGAGGTGCAACGAAGTAACATGTGCCTAAATATGATTAGTTGTTGTTGTGCGCAAGCGCAATGACATACTTGAATTGTACGAAAGCAACGAGAGCGCGGAAAAGAATACGCAAATTAACATATATTCAATACATAATATATTCACAATATAAATAAATAATTATGGTGCTGTGCTGTGTCCCAAATTGTTGCAATAGATCAGACAATCAAAATTGGAAACAAACTACCAATACAAACAAAATTAAGAAAATTACATTTCACAGGTAATAAATTTGTGTTATTTTAAAATAATAGTCTATTTTTAGAAAAGGTGTTTGATATTTTATTTGTATTCACATTTAGTTTTCCAAAAAATAATACTCGCAACTTGTGGAAAATAGTGTTATTTTATAATATATATGTTGTTTTATAATATATATTTTGTATTGTTTTATAATATATATTGTTGT